AGTTGCTCTAACTCATTACGCAATCCCATCACTTCCTATATTGTTTAATGGAATGAATCGGAAAACGAAATAAATTGCGGTAGGGTTCAGACTTTAAATCCCTCGCGTCCAAGAAATTATTGAATTATAATAATAGTAATAATATAGCAAACCATTTAGTAAATAATTCAATATGGTTATTGAATTATAATAATAGTAATAATATAGTAAACCAGTAAATATTGGCGCATCGCACTATTTTGAGCGGCTGTCAGAACTCAGCAGCTCCCGGTAAAGCTTAAGTCTGCATGTCACGTTTTTTCTCCAAATTGTTTAACTAACAAATCCCCTGGTTTAGAATTTGCATACGGTAAGCCACTAAACCTAGTTGCTCACCAGGGCCTATACTTTCAAAAAAAGTTAAGAGATCGTAAGTTCATCAGCCAATCATTGACGGCCTTTCAAGCAAAATCCACCAATCATAGACAAGAAAATAGAGCGTAAGTACTTACGTTCACTTAGCGAGTTTTGAAAGTATGGCGGTATTTCAGCACTCTTATCTGTGAATCGTACGCAGTAAATAAGTTGACGACAAATTAATGATGGTTGACCGGCACTTAAGTGGCAATGAGAGAGTTTGTATATAATTTTGAAGCATCCGTAACTTGTTTTGAAACACTTGCTGAAGGTGATTGCATCAGTGCAGGTTATTACATTGGTGTTTGCAGCAGGTTATTACATGTATATATCCTGCAGGTTATTACATATGTATTTACCGCAGGTTATTACATATGTATTTGCTGCAGGTTATTACATATGTGTTTACCGCAGGTTATTACATATGTATTTGCTGCAGGTTATTACATATGTGTTTGCTGCAGGTTATTACATATGTATTTGCTGCAGGTTATTAAATATATATTCGCTACGGGCGTTTGAATCGACAAACGAAATTGTTGATATCAGAGTGGACGATTAAGTGTAAGAGATTACCGAGCCTATAGTCACGTTTTTATAACCTCAATTTACAGCCACTATACAAGAATGCATTCAAATAACAACCTCTCGAAAAGCTATAGGCATCAAGTGATTATTGGTATATTGTTGTCCGACGAAGAGAATGAAGCGGCATATTAAAGTCATACATATCTCTTTTGGCCTTCGTTTTTACGATAGTGAATATCATAGGAGATTTAGTCAAGGCCACAAGGCCTACGTTTTGTTATGCCCTCAATCAACTTCATGTTTAAGAATGTAATTGTAAATTGTATCTGTTCAAATATCCGCTTGGAATAAATTGCGATTGAATCCAATGTTGTTACTGCAGTTGTTTTTAATCACTTTTTTTGTCATGTATAAGAATGTAATTGTATTTGTTCAAATATCCGCTTGGAATAAATTGCGATTGAATCCAATGTTGTTGCTGCGATTGCTTTTAATCATTTTTTGTACAGAATTCTGGTACGGACGCGAGATGTCGGCTTTGTCTAGAGATTAGGTATGGCCTTCTTGATTTGTGAATTACAGCCATTGGTCATATAAAGTTTAGTGCTTTGGCCTCAAGATTTAAAAAAACCTTGGAGTCTTATTAAATCCAGGTAATCCGGAATAAATTGATAGGTTATGCGTAGGCCTTTAGACTTCAATATTGTGAATTTAAGAGCAATATTTAGCGAAGACACTAAAAACTAGCCTCGTGATAGCTGCAAGGCTGATGAGGTACATAATTTTTAATAATTTGATGAGGTACCTTACTGATTATCGCGTAAAGTCACCGAGAAGGTGACGTGTCTTCGATGGTATTCCACTTTCCTGTAGCTGTCATATGGGTTATTTCTCCACCTTCTTTATCCATCTTTTTGGGTGTCAACTCCTTTACCTTGAACAGTCAGACTTCTCCCTTCTTCCTTGGCTCTTAGCTGGTCAATAACGACCATCGAGTCCAATAAAGGAGCGTTGATTCACTAGGTTAACGGCTATGTTCAATAGCATAAAGTGGCACTCGGCTAACCTCAAACATTTACGTAACTTGTCTCATTCATTCCGCGATGCGTTGAATTAAATGCAATTCTTAAGGCACCTGCAGAGCGAGAATGAAATCTCCGCCATGGCTTCACTCATCATGGGCTTTGCATCGCATGCCCAGGCACTGCTTGACTCTGTTGAAAATTTGAGCAGATTTAACCCTCTACCGCCGTATGTCACTCTCTGGATACATAACTTTTAACTTAAATTATACGTTAACTATTGAGTGTAGCAACCTGAGGACGTTTGTACGCAACAGAGAACATTTTAAAGTTGTCGTACGTGGCGGCAACCATCAGTGCAAGTCATTTTGCGCTCACTAGAACGTATCCTTTTTGGGAAGTAGGCGCGTGACAATATTGCTCTGGTTACTCGTGTCAGGCGGTAGAGGGTTAAGAGCGACCGACCGTAGGCTATACTCATTGCCCTGCATGAATAAGGTCATCAATTCCAGCAGGAAGTGAATTATTGAATGTAGAGGAAATTATCTAAAATGGTTCATTCACTCATAACCATGGAGAAAAAATTGGCGTGGATTCACGCAAGATTTCGATAATATTAAACTAGGTGCAATTGACAAGCCACCGTAAAACCAAAGGAGAAAAATTACACTGTTTCAAGGTCTCTTCGAGACCTAAGTTTTGACTAACGCAAATGTGGCGTTGTTTGGTAAATTTTTTTTCTGCTATTTTTACGTTTTATAGCACCTTTGTTGTAAAGAAGTAATTTTTCTGTCGTGAATTGCATGACTTTTTTCAATTTCAAGTAATTCTTCTATTAGAAAACATTCATTTAAAGTTTCATTTCGAAGGTCACGTGTGAGTTTTCAGTTTTCGCTTGAAAGTTGTATTAAAGTTTCAGCGATAAGTTTTCTGCACTAGATCTAATTTTATCCAAATAACTTGATACGCTATATGGTATGTTATGAATTTATACTCGCCATCAAGATAGTGCTAATCATGGTTGAACTATATAAGGTTGACCCACGAGGATTGTCGTCTTTCAGTTCAGCTTTCTTGTTACGTCACCGAGATCGAAAAACGTAAACAAACCCGTAATTCCTATGACGGATTGATTGATTTGATCGCAATTCGGTGATTTGTTAATGCCTGTGACGTCACTGAGATCAGTGACGTAACAAACGAACAACAAGCTACATCTGCAAAAATGAGTTTCTGACGAGTCAACTTTATACTAGTTCAACCTTGGTTTTAATGCTCAACAAGCCAGCGGCCGTACTGGTACGTCTGGTTGCTTGCGTGTGAGCTTCGCTGCAGTGGCAGTGAGGCGGGTGCTCCCTGCCTGCGGCCGTTAGTTCTGCGGCAGACGGCGGCGTGTAAAGTGCAAGCAGTCGTAGCTCTTGATCACGTGTTCAAAAAGATTTCATTTTTAAACTAATAATTTTATTATAATTCAACTCTAAATCCTATTAGTGGTGAATTTATCTTCCTGGTTATTTATGATTCCGGTATTATAAAAGGAAAATCGTGGATTTTTTTATAAGAAATGTCGGACCACTTTGGTTAATTGCGGTTTTAGAGGTTGTTTATCGAAAATTTTGCATCGAAAATATCCTATAATCTGGATGTACACGAATAATCTAATAACGCTTGTTGAATAATATTGCAGTTTAAACCAAAAAATTTCAAAGTGTGCACTTCCGGAAAATTCAACGTACGAGTTTGGATGTGTGATGAAAAATTTTATTACGTCTGAAATAATTTATAAACATATTAAATATTTGAATTGATATTGTCAATCTGGATAGCACTCCTTGGTTAGAAATGAATTCTTTATTTCATTCTCCTATTGAAAGTATTGAATTTTTAATGAAAAATTTTCTCGAATTTTGCTTGAAGTTGAGTTGCTTAGACATCTTTTGAATGGATATTTAATTGAGTGATACAACCCTCGAGTTTGTGCACTGAGTAGAAAAAATTGAGAAGTCACCCATGTGCCACCGCTACAATGAAAATATTTGAAAATTCCAGAAGCTGATGGATTATCTCGACAGTGATTTAATTGGTTAATTAGTTTAGTGAGATTGTTGTTCGATGTTATAATTTTCATTTAATCTATAATAGCTTATCAACCTCACCTACACTGTATCAGGTCTAGCTATAAGTATACTCTAGTTTTGGTAAGACACGAATTGATCTTTTTCAGTTATTGTATTCGAGAATATTATTTAAAAATTTAAGATTCAGTACCGAAGAAATTTGGGCGTTCCTCGCCAACGCGCGCGCGTGACAAGCATCCTCAAGTGCCATCATTGTTGACATTCTTGAGTGTATGTTGCACTTGTTGCCGTGTCTCCTGAACAGCCATATGCATGCTCACCATCACTGCAGAGTGTAGAGGTGCAGTCTGCCGCCGCGAATAATAGTCATTAACAGCTGGTGTGAACCTGAACAGGCTCACCATCACTGCAGAGTGTAGAGGTGCAGTCTGCCGCCGCGAATAATAGTCATTAACAGCTGGTGTGAACCTGAACAGGCTCACCAATACTGCAGAGTGTAGAGGTGCAGTCTGCCTCAGCGAATAATAGTCACTAACAGCTGGTGCGAACCTGAACAGGCTCACCAACACTGCAGAGTGTAGAGGTGCAGTCTGCCGCCGCGAATAATAGTCACTAACAGCTGGTGCGAACCTGAACAGGCTCACCAACACTGCAGAGTGTAGAGGTGCAGTCTGCCGCCGCGAATAATAGTCATTAACAGCTGGTGCGAATCCGAAGTGACGATCCATCTTTCTGTTCGCTCAAAATTCTTCCTGGATTGTTCGTCATTTGAAGTTTGAGGTCTCCGAAATTATCCTCACGGCTTCGATGATCACGTTAGCTACTGCCAAAAAATTTTTCCATGTGTAAGGAATACTTCAAACACTTCACCTCGATTGAATTTTCCTGTATCCGCTAATCAATCCTGTGGATTTTATTCCAATAAATGTAGATTTTGTGTATAGAAGGTAAAATTCTCATGAGAGAAACTCTGGAGCACGAACATGAGGCATTAGGAGAGTGGAATCAAACCTATGAAATCGGGAAGTCGGCATTAGGAGACTGGAATCAAACCTATAACATTGGGAAGTCGGCATTAGGAGAGTGGAATCAAACCTTTAATATTGGGAAGTCGGCATTAGGAGAGTGGAATCAAACCTATAATATTGGGAAGTCGGCATTAGGAGACTGGAATAATACCTATAATATTGGGAGCGAGCAAGTCAGCCATAATTTGGGCTGTGATGCCGCCTCGCGGCGTCGTCTGCCTGCTGCTGCTTGTGGGCTTAGGAACTGTGAGCCCTCAGCGCTCCTTCAAGAGTCCACGCAATCCCAGCAACACGGTCATCGAAGGTGAGCAACCTATGGCCATACTTTCAAAACTCGCCAAGTGAACGTAAGTACTTACGCTCTATTTCTGGTTTATGATTGCTGGATTATGCTTGAAAGGCCGTCAATGATTGGCTGATGAACTTACGATCTCTTAACTTGTATCGAAAGTATAGGCCCAGGGGCCATACTTTCAAAAGTCGCTAAGTGAACGTAAGTACTTACGCTCTATTTTCTTGTCTATGATTTGCGGATTATGCTTGAAAGGCCGTCAATGATTGGCGGATGAACTTACGATCTCTTAACTTTTTTTTTAAGCAAAAGCTGTCAATAGAAGTTAAGAGATCGTAAGTTCATCAGTCATTCATTGACGGCCTTTCAAGCATAATCCACCAATCATAGACTGCTGTGGTCTCTGCGTTATGATATCTTCAAACATGAAGCAGACTTTTGCTATGCTAGCTTTTATGTCGAAGTCAGCTAGTTTTGCCGTTTGAATTTGGTGGTCCATCTGCGACTTGTGTCTGGCCCGAGCAATGCTACGATGCTGGAGGTAGACGGGACCCATGCAATTTACGCTTGCATCGCCTTTGCAGTGCTGTATTTTTTGTCGTTTATTATAAGCCCGACGAATGTCTTTCTTGCTGCCTTAGCAATCTTTTTAATTTATTTCGACTATTGTAATAAAAGTTTGTTCTGTACAGAAGGAGGCTGTAGAAGTTACGGTTTCTTCACCTCTTCGTCCGCACTCATTTTCATTCATGGTGCCAGCTCAGTCAGGGTTCTAGTTATCATTGCATTTTGGCGTAAACTTCCTTCTGGAGAGAAATTTTACCGTCAGGTCTCGGACTGCTAAAAATAAGACCTTTGTCGCCAGTGATGCGTCATATCCTTGTTATTTATAAAAAAAAAGTAGAATCAATTCTAAATTCTCGTTCCGTGCTCGTGTTTGGTTGCCAATCGATTGCAAAGTTTCCTTCGGCATCATTAGGGCTTGTCAAAATTTTAATTAAGACTCTCGCGTGATCCATTCCATTTTTAGCGCATTTTCTCATTTATGGAAAAAATTCACTATTGCGCTCGCCATGTCCGTTTGTCCGTCCGTCCGTTTGTACTTCACGTTTTCGTCGACGAGAAAATGCGCTCTCTGTCACTCGCTGCAGTGAGTACCGAGTTATATTTTTTATACGTTGTACTCAGGTTTCAGTTTTTGCTCCACCTGTACAATTCTTGTGCATGAACTCTGTGTTCTAATAGATCCATAATATTCAACTTACCTTGGTAAACTCGGCGAGTGAATCCCCAACGGCGATCCTATTTTTAATTGTTGTTAATTAATCAGCCAGTGTTGGTTCAAAAGGATTCCGCCACTTGGTTATTTATGAAGTTTGTTTGTCTGGTGATCTGTATTTGTCGCCCGCCACTTTGAGCAACCTTACAGTGTTACGCCTCCGCACTTGCTTGGCGGTGCCTTTAAATTCTAAGCACGTTATAGTGCAGCTCGTTCCACCAATTACTGTTGTAAAATGTGATGCATTGGCCTAACATGGCTTAATGTTGCTAAGTCGTGGCTTAATTTATTGGCCTGGTATGGCTTAATCGCAGAAATTAAGCCTCAGTCGTTGAATTTCACGCAAGTTCTAATCATAATCAAATTATATCTCTTTTCTAAGCAAGAAAAGAGATAAAACTTCTGAAATAATTAAAGGTAAATGGAGAGAATTAATGAATAATTTCAAGAAAGCATCAAGGCGACAAGTTGTATTTTGGGTTTGACTCAATTCGACCATTTGTTGCATTCCAGCGACAAAAATTCTCATCATTCAATCCATCAAAGGTTTCATGTCTGATTCAAGACTCGCCGCGTGGAACGAACCACCAATTATTGATTCATGTATTTTCCTCACTTTAGCGTAGAGTGACGAAACAGTTCCAAGCTTCTTATCGAGTACGTTCTGCATTATATACAATAAATTTTCCGGATTTTTAGCGCATTTTCTCATTTATGGAAAAAATGCCCTATTGTGCTAGTCATGTCCGTCCGTTCGTCTGTCTGTCTGTCCGTCCGTCTGTCCGTCCGTCTGTCTGTCCGTCCGTCTGTCTGTCCGTCTGTCCGTGACTTCACGTTTTCGTCGACGAGAAAATGCGCTCTCTGTCACTCACTGCAGTGAGTACCTACTGAGTTATATTTTTTGTTAATTCATCAAATTCATACTTTCAGGAGTTGTCACATCTTTATATTCGTATTATTATAAAGCCGTTGTTGTCTTATCGCTCATCTTCGTTTGTTCTGGCTTGCGCTTATCGATCAACGAGGCGTTGACAGCTGAGATGCTCGGTACACAAGCATGGCCATTTCAACGATCAAACATTTCTTGCTCAATGAGAAGCCGGGAGAATCGTGCCTTTTGTCTAGAACTGTATTACTGGGCGTGCCGGGGTTGATTCATTTGAAGTGAAGATTTTGACGCGCAAAATCTCTTGAGTTACGGACTGCACATCGGCATAGTATAATAGTATAATATACTTTTGGAAACTGCTATTGGATTGACATAGTAGAATATATTTTTGGAAACTGCTATTCGATTGACATAGTAGAATATATTTTTGAAAACTGCTTTTCCTTTGAAATAGTTTATAGAATATATTTTTGAAAACTGCTATTTGATTGACATAGTAGAATATATTTTTGGAAACTGCTATTCGAATCTTTATCCATTCATTTTGATGACCTGTTCCCCAGTGTATCACGTAATAATGAACGAAAAAATCAGTGTGAATTGTGAGCGACCTCTTGAGTCGACGCTCTAGTGCCTGTCTGGGATCTAATGAGATATATTGGCGCGCCATTATTTTGGTGTTGAGACTTCATGAATAAATTAACAGTGAATCAATTATTTTTTTTTTTTGTATCGCGTGTCTGCAAATTCCATAATGATCTTCCTTGCCTCCTACGCTCGAATTATTCTCGACGTTAACTGCAGTTGCACTGCGCCTGAAATGCACAACTATACTCAGCATAAATCAGCCGCACCCTGCGATGTTATGTGAAGTAAAATAGTTCTGTTATGAACTAAATAGTTATATAAATAGTTATATAAATAGTTATGAACTAAATAGTTATGAACGCTTATGTTTAGTGCGAGTGAGATCCTTTATTTCCCGTAATATTATCCCGTGTCTACCTATCATGATGTGTGACTTCTCGTTATAGGCATGCGTGTGCCAATTGTTGTCATATGTATATTAAATTTTATGTTAATTAAATTTTATCTGAAGCTCTATTTGAGGCATCAATATTGCACGTATGAACTCGCCTCATTTTTCGATTTATTTACTGAATTATTTGCGTGGCATAACACAACAGCAGATTGGATTTTCAATCCATTTAAAACTTGACAATTTTTTCATGTATGCAAAATTTACTGTTGTTTGAATATTTTCTTTAGTATCTTCATTTTAGTCTGTAGGTAATAACGGTGATGTAGATTATGAAATGTTTCTTCATTCTCTCAAGTCTAAGCTAGCCTCCTGTGTATACGCTGAACGTGTTAGGTGTGGTCGCAGATTTTGACCCATTGTTCATTATGCATCGGCGGCTTTTTAGTCCGTTTCTGATCTGATCATAAACTGGTTATCGTGTGTGTGGGCTTCCAATTGCCTCGAAACTTATGATTTGGAGCACTACCTCCCATTTTATCTCAGCTGCACTTGCATGAAAATCATTCTTCCCTGACCAAAAGCGGCTCAACTGCCATGTTGCCGCAGCCTATATACCACTGATTGCTTCTGACGCTCACAGCCGAATTATGTTAAATTAAATCCTTAAAAGTCTCGAGATGTGTGCCTTATTGATTTTTGCCTTATATACACATGTCTGTTTTCTTATATCTTTAGCTTGTGATGGACTCACCGCATTAATTAACCTTCAGTGCCGACAAGTTAGTCAACTCATTATGATGCCTTTCAACTGACTTGAAATTAGATCAAGAATTAATGGGAGATGGCCTTCTCTTAAAATGTTTGTTTTCAGTTTAGCGGTCCAAGGTGGATTTTCATCATTTTACTGTACGATTTTTGCAAATGTAGATAAAATGTGGGAATTTGTTAATTTGATCTGAATTTTCATTTGCAGTAAATATAACTTGAAACAAAATTTATACAAAGAAACATGGCCTTATCTTACATTATTCTGTCATCTGTTCAGCTGTAAATTAAGCATGTCATCGACGAATCAGAGCAAGCTTTCGTTTAAGAAACCATGCCTAATAACTATCCTCGGTTAAATTTCTTTTCACTCAAAGAAATGTAAAAAATTGAATGAATATTGTATCATCACGCATTGAGCTAAATTTCTTTCCACCGATCTATCCTTATAATTGTTTAGGATTTAAAGATGCATGATTATAATGCAGCCGTGAGCTGTTAATAGCTTCAAACACATTCCATTTCGTCCCGGGAATACGCAAGCTCGCAGAAAAAAATTTGAGGCTGTTTAAATTATTTTCTTAGTCAATCAACTTTTTGTGGTCTCGGGAAGTCCGGAAGATCTACTGACATCATCGCAGAAAACTATTCATGTTCCTGGCGTGAACTTAGTTCGTTAAAAGCATGACGAGCAAATTATCCATAATATTGTAAACATGTGCTCATAAGTGTGCTTTGATCGCTCACGCTTCTCTAATTTCTCCCTCAACTTTAATATTATGAGTTACCCACAACCGGGTGCCTTACCTCGTCTGCCTGGTTTCCCGACAATAGTTGTCAAATACATGGCCTACCGCAGTCTGATATTCAGTTATCTGGACGCGCCTGAGCTCGCCCAGCAATTATCACCGTCGAGCACCGCGTCTGATAAACTTTGCCGCGTCTGCCGAGCCGCTGCGCAGAGTGGACGCGCCTGAGCTCGCCCAGCAATTATCCCGCTCGAGCACGGCTTCTGATAAACTTTGCCGCGTCTGCCGAGCCGCTGCGCAGAGTCTGCCGAGCCGCTGCGCAGAGTCAGCCGAGCCGCTGCGCAGAGT